GTCGCTGCTCCACACGTCTCGAAGGTACATTTTTCCACTGCTGCCATGGCGACATGTGGGGAGCCTGCTCGCGCCTAGTACGCTGCGGTGCGGGCTTGACTGTGCTGCCTTCTGCCAAGGGTAGGGAAGAACTGTGAGCGATTTGCCAGGGGTGTGATCATCACAGCAGACGCGAGACCAGACACGTCTGAAGGTCGTCTGAGAGAGCGCAGAGGGAGGAGGGAGGGGGAGGAGCCAGGGAACGGATGATGGCCGTCAGCGTCCAAGTTACCGCTACTGTCGACGGTACCAAAGGGAGCGCGTAGCTGTGGCGACGAGGACCGCGTGGTACTTCTCCGCGGAGTTGTAGCGCTGCCAAGTCCTAGGCCAGGGCTGCTGTTGGCAGGTCCACTTTCCGAACGGCACCTGTAGTCAGCTGGACCAACTGGAAGGTGTAGACGTAGCCGGGACGGGACACTACATGGTTAGAGCCAGGGCGGTCGGACCTCATGTAATCGCCAGGTGCGTATGGCTGATGGCCGTCTCATCCTTTCCAAGTAGAGAGAGAGAGAGAGAGAGAGAGTGCCAGGGAACGGCTGATGGCCGTCGAAGCAATGCACGCCGAAGACCGTGAGCGCCCCTGGGCCAGGTGGCCGAGAAGGCCAGCTGCCGACCACAAATGTCTGTACTGCTGGGAGGAACAGGGAGCCCTCTGGGGCACCAATCTCTGTTGTCCCATTGGTGCAGGAGAAACACTGACAGTGGCGACGAGCACGGCTGCTGGCCAGGCTGCCCTGACAGTGCGTGCCGGCGAGAGTATTGACCCGGACGCTGTCAGCAGCCCCCGGGCTGTGGGGAGGCGATAGCCGCCTGGTGAGACAAGACAGGCGCTGGGGGGGCGAGCGCGCCCTGGGAGCCTGAAAGTGGCTGCAGGTGTCGGCGCGGTAGACGCGCACCTTTGCACCCGCATCTAACCAGCCTAGGCTGTCTAGCTATAGTGCGCCGCAGAAGCGGGTGGGGGGCGGCCGCCTGCCCCAGCGATTGGCTGGCCCGCCGGTATTATGGCCAGCAGGCCAGGGCGCAGTGGGGTGAGACGGGCCCTGGAGCGGGCCGGCACTCGCGGGGCCAAGGAGCCAGGCGAGCCGCGAGGCAGGGAGCGACCGGCCGCAAGCCGGGGAGTCGCCAGTGGTGCGGCCCAGCCGTCCCCAGAGAGGGGCGGCGGACTGCGGAGAGGCAGGACAGCGGAGCGGGGAGGTGGGAAGCGGTCGAGGGAGGGAGCGAACTAGGAAGCCAGGTACGGCTGATGGCCGTTTTGTCGGGGATGTCCATGCCAGGGACGGCTGATGGCCGTTCTGTCAGGATCGTAGAGCCAGGGACGGCTGATGGCCGTTTTGTCGGTGCAACTGCCAGGGACGTTGGTGGGGATACGCGAAGCGTTAACAATTAGGTAGGGGAACCGATTCCAGGCGCGCGAGACGCGAAAGGGGCTGAGTGGAGCACAGGCTCAAGTTCTGCAGAAGTGCTAGTAAGCAGGGCTAAGCTACTCACTACTAAGAACAACTAAGTTACCTAGTGCTACTTAATAAGTAACTTAGCTCGCTGCCCAAAAGAAAACACCTACTTATGCATAGCACAAGTGTGATTACAAAACCAAGCACCCACTTACATCACTTACATCATTCTTACACAACTCGCGCCACTTACACCAGATCAAAAATAACTTCAGCCCAGCCACAACTAGTCCTCAAGTAGCACAAGAAGCTCCAGCCTCTAAGTGGAGGACTCCCCCCTTCCCCGGCAGAGTCACCCCGGCGACCCCCCCCCCCCAAAAAAAACAGAGTTGAAGCTCTTGCTTAGGCTCAGAGTTGAAGCTCTTGCTGAGGCTCCTTGTAGTTAGTTCACACGCTGGTTCGGCGGATTTGAAGACTTCACACATTCCCATTGCCAACGTATCAAACATGGTGATTTGGAAGGACTCAGGATTGCGAGGGTGCAGCATTTGTGGTGGCTCGCGGTGTCGGAGTCCCAGGAATGGTGTTTTGGCATGATTCAGGATCGCTACGACGCAACAGTCAGGTTGGCCCGTGGCGTTGGACCCCCCAAATGGTGTTATGGCATGGCTGCAGGGTCTTCAAGCGGTTGTTCCCCAACGAGGCAGTTACCTCAGTGGGAATGAACCCTTCTAGGGCCCTAAAGCAGAGGGAGTTCGAAGGAAGGGTTCCTTCCAACATCATTGATGGGTCTTGGGTTTACAATGGTCCTCCTCCTCCTCCCCCTCCTCCTCCTCCTCGTCCTCTCCTCCTACCCTCTGATATATCCCGCCCTCGTGGATGGGGGTCGGAGTGGATGGGGTTGGAGGATCGCGCCGCATCGACAATGCGTCGGCGATGCGGCGCCGCATCTCCGACCCCATTCAAAAAGCCTTGTACTGCATGTTTCCAGACACGCCAGAAGCCAGAGGCCACGGCCTCACCCACCTGGTCTGAATTACGCTTGGACCCTTGCCCGCAGCGGTGGTCGTGCATTATTTCGTTCGGCCTTCTCTACTGCCCCACGGGTTGCGCCCGACCCCCCAGCGCACCACCGAATTGCGATTCCCCCGCCTTCCGTTACGGAAGAATCATGGCTGGAAAGGTGTTAGGCAATTCTAGGCCTCCAGGGCCTTCACTGGTCCCAGGGACCGCCATTAAACGACTCGGGAAAAAGTTCTAGTCCCAGAGTGCATCTCTAGGGGTCCACGCTCATGAGCACAATTCACGGCGTCGGAGGGCTGTGTTCGACGACGCGAAGCGAGGGTCGTTCTGTAAATCCTGTGATGAAGGCTAGAACGAGGGTTTTTCGGGAACGCTCTCAGAGCGTTCTGGAACGCTCTGAGAAGCCTGCGGCGCACGAGACATCCTCCAAAGCCGCGGGATTTCAGATATTTTCAATTTCTCCACACCCGATCTGATCCTCGTCCTGGCTTCGTTTCAGCTCGACGGTAGGAAGCGAAGGTCGTTCCCAGCTCTGCTCTGTCCGCCGACGTGGTCTGCGCCACGTGTTGCGCGAGATTCCCCGTCCCTGCGGCGATAATCCCCCCGCCCTTCCTTGCGGTGTGCTCGCGTCGTGCCGTCCGGCGGCGAACCTGCCGCCCGCGCTCAACGTGGAACGCCGCCGGCGACCGAGCACGCAGCCCGGGAAAGGTCTGGGGATCGGCTTTTCGAGGGGGGATCGCGGGCGGAAAACATATCCCTATCGGCCTCGCGGGCCGGGCCCTTGGGCCGCGACCCTGCGGATACGGTGGGTTCGCGTCGTGTCGAATGGCGGCGACCCCGCGCTGGCGTTCAACGTGGAACGCCGCCGGCGCCCCAGCATCGGTCGATGTTGAAGAATCTGACGTCTCGGGAGCGGCTGATCCTGCAAGGCTTAGCGATCCCCGCTGTGTCAGAAACAGACGCCAAAGACGGCACGACACTGCCGTTCCTTCCATAGGTTGCGCCAAACGTTGCGCCGCCATTGGTCGCGCCGTAGGTTTTCACCAGGCACCATCGCGCTCCACCGAATTGCGATTTACTCATTCTGTCTACCTTCCATCGCTGGCGACAAGGGCTGCGCCAGGTACACTTGCGCGTCACCCGATCGCGATCCTACCATTCAGAAAGCGTTTTTTCGGTTCCACAGGTTCAGGATGGGCCATTCTGCATCGCGACCCTCCCATTCAGAATCCCGCTCGCGATCCTTCCTTTCAGAATCCCATCCAGGATAGGCCAGTCTGCATACCCTCCACAGGTTTCGCAATTGTTTGCGCCAAACAGGTCTGCGATCCACAACGCGTTCATTGCGGCCAGGAAACAAATACGGCATGCACATCCCGACTTTTGGGGTCGTTCTTGCGCCAGATCCATGCTAACCTTCTCTGCGCCGTTGTGATTGTTACGGATGGACTCCGAAGCGAGTCTACGTCACTCCATAAGGCAAGCAGGCGTCTCTGTTGGCCGATCCTTGAGGCTTTCGGGGCCTACCAGGTGCGTTTTGGAAGTTCTTGCAGCTCAGGGAGGGCATACTCGGCAGTCACTCGGTAGTCTTGCAGATTTCATGGGCGTGTGGAATCCTCTTGGTAGCGTTCTGTTGGTTCTCTTCTTGGGAGCATCTCGGCATTTCGTGGGCCAGGGTCGGGGCCACGGTGGCCTTGACCGTCATAAAGGAGCCGCTGGCGTGGTCTTTGTGGCTCACTGGGGGCGTCGTGTGGGCCTGTTGACATGCATTCGGGGTTTCTTGGGCGCGTCTTGGAGCTCGGTGGGTTTGTCTTGGGGGCATGTTGGGAACAGGGCCGGCGGGGTGGCGCAAAGGATCGCCCTTTGGGGTGACGTCTTCGCAGCGAAGGCGAGCAAACATGTGTTGCACGTATGATCGGCGTCTTCGGACCCAACGATCTGCACAAGAGAGTCTCACAGGGGCCGAGTGGAGGCGATCTGTGGGACCCGCAGGAGGGCAGATCCGTGTTTCGCGGCGTCGTGCCTGGGCGAGCGGGATTACCAGGAAACATGTTGCACCCATGATGCGGCAAGCATGAGCGCGAGCTGCATCTACGTGTAGCCGCACACATTTCTAGTGCTCGTTCCCTCTATGTCAGGGCACGCCAGCCTGACGCAGATAGATCGAGAGCACGGCCTCCACATGTCCCACATGGCATGAAGCCTGCCACGTGTGTGTCCAACTTCCTGGTATAGCCGGGCTTCGCACCTGAGGAAGAGGAGTAGAAGAGCAAGAGGAGCAGGGGAAGTAGTTTAATGAGTTGGAGAATGATGCGGAGGTGCAGGAAGGGGGAATCCGAGACGATCCCTTGCCTGCCTGACGAGCTCGCAGGCTGACGTTAAGCGGTAACACATCTCCCAGAGGTTCGGGGGACGAAAGGAGTTCGATAATGTTACCCCAGGCCAGCAGCCGCCAATAGGGCGAGTCGGGTTCCTCGTGTCCATCTTTCTGATCCTCCTTTTTCTGAACATCCCCCACCGTCCACCTCCGTCATCCCTCCTCGACCCTGTCGTCGTCGCTTTCCTCCGCCTCCTCGTAACGGTCTGCAAGCAGCGCATTTTACTTGGCGGGCGCACCAGGAGCAGCAGCTTCGCATGATACCCGTGCAAGGCGGATTTCTTCGTCTCGAGCTGTGGCCGACGACCACAGCATTATTCGGATGGCCTCCAGTTCAAGAGACTATGCCACTATGCCGACCAGGGGCACGGGCTCGCCCATTTGCTGTCCCGCCGCTGATGCCCGGGTGACCTGGGAAATCGAAGTCTCCACCAGTGCCCAATTATCTCCCCACCATCGTCTCGGACATCCCATGTTCGCAACCATCTCGGCGCGTTTTCAGGGGTGAAGCCTTTGTTCCGTACACTTACCTACTTACTCATCTTTGACGCATCTACCCACACACCGAACCGTCGATGAAGCTTCTGCGTCGATCTACTATTGTAGCCGCTTGCGCTTACAATGTGGTGGAAGTGACCGCCATACAGAACGCAGACTGGCAGTGGGTGGAAGACATGAAGGACCTGCCGGCTGGCCCGCCGCCGACGATTATCGATACTGACGGCATGATGCATGCTAACAGCTCGAGCCCAGAATGGCAATTCAACCAGTTCTTGAACACTCATCAGGACGGACAGGACCGAGGGAAGAAACACAGGGACCATGACCAAGATGTGGCGGGATCTTGTCCATGCTGATCTTGGTCATGGGCCATGTCGGCCGTCGCCGCTTCGCGACGAGTATGCATGGATTGACACTGATCACGATCTACGCTGACCAACATGAGCACGACGTTTCCGCCTTCTGTCTTGGTTATGGTCCCCGTGTTCTTCCCCTCCACAGGAGTATTCCGCATCCGGGGTCACGAGCTCGATGGTATCGCCCATGGGGGCCTACGGCCCGATTCTCGTCGTCTACCTGACCTACGGCGGGCAAGTCCCTTACAAGACGTTCGCAGAAGTCCAGGGGATGTTCTGGGACGTTCCAGGTCTCAACCATGCGATGTACCATAATTCGTGGCACCAGGTCAGGGCATATCTCTATCTGATCGATACGATTCTGTATCGGTTCCGGCTGGCCAGATCAGACCCAGCTCCGATATTCCGACGGTCCGATGCGGCCCGGTGTTCGCATGTGCATCCTAGCGGGGCCGATCCGATGTTTTGATGTGCATTTTGGCGCCACCGATCGTATTCGACACCGTCTTCGTGCCGATGTGCCCCCATTCGATGCACATTCCGATCCGATCCAGCTTCCCGATTCGGTGTCGATTGATCCTCTTAGGTGTGGCTTGAGTCCTCGGATGTCGATTTCATCCAGATGGAATCGCCTCAGGACCCTGCGTCTTGGGGATACCGCTTGTCTTCTCTTACAATGGCTGTGTATTGGTCGGCGACATACCAAGCACAGATCAAAACAAGAACTTACAAGAATACGTTGGTGTTTGCCCCTGGGGATCTGTTCATGGCCACTGCGTATGCCCCGACCACCGGCTGGTGGAACGGTTTCGCCCAATTCTACCACCAAGCCCAGACATGGCAGACGGTATTTCACGAGATGGGCCACACATGGGGAATGCATCATGCAGGAGGCTATTGGCACACAGGGGAGTTCAATGCATACCTGGATGATGCGATCATGGGCTATCAACGGGAATGGCGGGCCGTGGACTGCAATGCGGTTCATCGCTACAGGCTCGGTTGGCTTACAGGGGCCGAGACAGTGGAGTTCACCCGAGGGACTGGCTTCGCGAAGACTGTCAATCTGGCTCCCCTCAATGAGGGGCCGGATGGCCCAGAGTTCTTGCTCATGAAACTCCCGTGCGATGAGTGCGTGGGGGATAAGGCAGCTACACCGGGTGAGGGTTTCCTCTACATCTCCTTCCGTGTGCAGGACGGGCCCAGCTTGTACGGGGTTGGCGGAGAGTCTGATCCGATTTATCTCTTCGACATCTTCACTCGCCGACGTCTCGTCTTGGCTGACCGCGTCCACGTGCACTTCCAGCCCGATGTGAATCAGAAGACCGAGCTGTGGACCACATTGAACGCGGGAGACACGGTCGCAATCCCTGCTGCCAACATGTGGATCCATGTCTGCGGCATCAATGTTGCGACCCATGCCAAGGTAAGTGTTTCGGACACTAGCGAAGCTGCAGCGTGGGCAGGGTGCGCGACGCCAGCCCCGACACGAGCACCGACACCAGCACCGTCAGCAGCCGCGACGCCAACACCGACGATGGCGCCGACACCATCGCCGACGCTGGCACCGACAGCAGCACCGACGCCAGCGCCGACGCCAACGCCCACGCCAGCACCGACGCCAGCGCCCACGCTGGCACCGACACAATTTCCGACGCCGGCACCGACACCAGCGCCGACGCCAACGCCAACGCCGGCACCGACGCCATCGACGCCAGTACCGACGCCAGCGCCCACGCCAGTGCCGACGCCAGCGCCGACGCCAGGGCCGACGCCGGCACCGACGCCAGCGCCGACGCTGGCACCGACGCCAGCACCGACACCAGCGCCGACGCATGCTCCGACGCCAGCGCCGACACCAGCGCCGACGCCAGCACCGACACCATCGCCAACGCCGACTCCGACGCAAGCGCCGACATTCCCATTGGCGTCTCCAGCGTCGCCGATGGGAATATCGTCTCACGGTGGCATGGTCTCCGGCATGGGCGACCCCCACCTCACCAACATGTACGGTGAGCGTTTCGACTTGTACCAGACGGGCAAGAACGTCCTTCTGCAGATCCCGCGGTGGAGCACCGGCGGCGATGCGCTGCTGCGCCTAGAGGCCGACGCCACCCGCATGGGCGACCTTTGCGCCGACGTGTACTTCCAGATGGTGGTCATCTCTGGGGCGTGGACGAACACGACCGAGGAGATGCGGTTCTTCGCGAACGGTGACACGCTCGGCTTGCCCAGCAGAATGAATTGGGCGCGCTTCGGCAAGGTCAGTCTGAAGGTAGTCCACGGCAAGACCAAGGAGGGCACCGATTACCTCAACGTCTTTGCCAAGAATCTCGCCCGCGCTGGTCTTCCAGTTGGTGGCCTCCTCGGCATCGACGACCACACTGCGGCCAGCACCCAGCCTTCCGAGTGCACCCGCTCGTTCTCGCTGTAACGCGGCACTGCGGTCCAGCACACGCGCTTGTTGTGTTGGCTGCTGGTGACCGGCGGCGTGCGGGTGATTGTCCTGGCTATCCTCGCCGGGCGCGCCGGCTCGACCCATCCAGCAAAGGCCCATTGTACACCGCTTTGTATAGCGCTTTGTACAGCGACGCTGGTGTGCTGAACGGCCCTTGCGCCCGTCTAAGCTTTGAACGGGCGAAGCGCTTGCGCCATGCGGTGCGCCGCGGTGCCACGTCGGGGCTTCTTTCTTTGCCTCTTCCAGCGAGGTTGCTGGGACAGAGCATCAGACCATAGCCTGGCTGGATGGAGCAGGCGGGACGAGGTGTCTCCATGCAGAGAGCGGGCCCGGGAAGAAGTGAGTCCTGGAGGTTCTTCGCTGCCTTCGAGCTTGAGGGCCCTCAGTTGGGCCCCGTCGGCCGGTCTGAGGACGACTCGGGAGTTTCAAAGCCAGCCTTGGGGGGGCACTTCTGGGGTCCTGGGGCCCGCTTCCGCCGTGGCCCTGTCCTCTCGTGCCAGCCGAAGGAGGGGCGTACGGGGAGGATGCGAGAAGGAGGGGAGGAGGAGGAGGTGGCGTGGGGGTGGAGGCGAGGAGGAGCGGCGGCGGAAAGCCACTCCGACTCCGACTCCGACTCCGACCCAGCTCGGCCTGGTCCGACATTTGACCTCAGCCGATCTCTGGCGCCGAGGGGGAGGAGGAGGAGGAGGAGGAGGAGGAGGAGGAGGAGAAGGAGGAGGAGGCGGAGGAAGAAGAAAGAGGAGAGAGGAGGAGAAGGAGGATGAGGAGGAGGAGGAGGAGGAAGGAGGAGGAGGGGAGGAGGAGGATGGGGGGAGGAGGGAGGAGGAGGCGGAGGAGGAGGAGGAGGAGGGAGGAGGAGGAGGCGGAGGAGGAGGAGAGCAGGAAGAGGAATAATATAATACTATGAAGAAGAAGAGGAGGAGGAGGAGGAGTAGGAGGAGGAGAGAAGGAGGATACGGAGGACTGGAGAGGAGGGGTAGAAGAAGAAATAAGCAGGATTGATGATAAGGAGGAGAAGGAGCTAGCAGGAGGAGGAGCAGGAGGAGGAGAAGGGGGGATGAGAAGAAGGAAGAGCAGGAAGAGAGGAGGAGGAGGAGAAGGAGGAGGAGGAGGAACAGGAGGAGGAGGAGGAGGAGGAGGGGAGGAGGAGGAGGAGGGGAAGGGAGGAGGAGGAGGGGAGGAGGAGGAGGGGGAGGAGGACGAGGAGGAGAATAGAAGCAGGAGGAGGAGGAGGGGAGGAGGAGGAGGAGGAGGGAGAGGAGGAGGAGAGGAGGAGGAGGAGGAGGGGAGGAGGAGGAAGAGGAGCAGAAGGAAGAGGATAACGAGAATAATGAGGAGCAGGAGTTGAGGAGGACGAGGAGCAGGAAGAGGAGAAGCAGGAGGTGGAGGAGGAGGAAGAGTGGAAGGAAGAGGAGGGGGAGGGGCAGGAGCAGGAGGAAGAGGAGGAGGAGGAGGAGGAGGAGGAGGAGGAGGAGGAGATGGAGGAGGATGAGGAGGAGAGAAGGAGAAGGAATTGGAGGAGGATGAGGAGGAGGAGGAGGAGGAGCTGCAGGAAGAGGAGAAGGAAGCGGAGGAGGATGAGGAGGCGGCGGAGGACGAATAGGAGAGAGGAGGACGAAGAGGAGAGAGGAGGAGGAGAAGGAGGAAGTGGAGAAGGTGGTTAAGGAGGGGGGGGGAGGCGGAGGAGGAGGAGCAGGAGAAGGAGGAGGAGGAGCAGGAGGAGTAGGAGGAGGATTTGTCTTGCACCAACGGCAAAAAAGCAGTCCGCGTCGGGCGTGGCCAGCACGATCACCACGAAGATGAGGAAGACCACCGTGAGGTAAATAAACTGCACCACGCCCTCGTCAACGCCATACTCGAGCGAAGGTATAGCGATGACCACTCCGTGCATAACGCAATGTCGATGAAAGCCCCACGGCGTGCATGACGCCGTACACTGCCAGTGGACCCGCACAAAGATGACGGACCGCCTGACCACATCAAAAAAATACGCCACCGCCCCACGCCCCGCCCAGTGCAGACGGCCCAAAGACAGTGCCGATGAGCATCCGTAGGTAATGGACGTCATTCCACCAGCACGCAATACGCCAGCACACTGTAAATATCCATTGGAAGTGGTAGCAACGAGTACAGAATACCTCACAGTTGCAAGATGTGAAAATTGACATCTCAGAACTGTAACGATGAATGAAGATGATACAGCAAAGCTCAATCGTACACATAAGAAAAAAGCGTCTGTCTTACCTGCCCATACGGGCCTGGGCCAGGCTCAGCCTCACGAGGACGCCGCCAAGAACCCAGATTAAGGAACGATGCTGATAACAAATGCGGCGAACCCACAATCCCACCACTGCAATGACGTGCCGCACGCCCCCGAAAAGGGGAAAGGCCACTGGCACGTAAAAGAATAACAGCGCTGTGAATAAATAGCGTGGGCAACACTTCCAGGACGAACTCAAAAAGAAACACCGAAAATGCACACCGCCTCGACGGAGCCGGCACGAGCACGAACATGGCAGATATCGGTAGCGGATTTCCGGAGCAGATCCACCACAAGTCGCCCCCTCCAACTCGTGACCACGCCGAGCCACAATCCCAGCGTTCACCTCCGCGAAGCTATTGTCCCCGAAAGCGCTCAAGTAAGCACACCCGTGGGTGGTACAGCCCTGGGACATGCGGGGCAAGCAAGCTTGAACCAAAGCTGGCTTGACCCGATACGGTACTTGAGAGGAGGAGGAGGAGGAGGAGGAGGAGGAGGAGGAGGAGGAGGAGGAGGAGGAGGAGGAGGAGGAGGAGGAGGAGGGGGGAGGAGGAGGAGGAGGAGGAGGGGAGGGAGGAGGAAGGGAGGGGGGAGGTGGCGGGGGAGGATGACAAGCTAGGTGCGCTCGCGTCATATCTGACATCCTAACCCCTCCCTCCCATCCCTTACCATGGCGTAGATCCCCTCTCTACTCGCACAGTCGGATGTCGAGCAGGGCAATGATCCCGAAAGGGTACGCGATGCATTGTAGAGCACGGCATGGCATGGCGTAGAAGAGCACCGCAAAGCGTAGTATGTCACAGCATGGCGTGGCGTGGCGTAGTGAAGAATTGCATCACAAAGCTTTGCAACGCAAAGCATGGCATCGCACAGCGGCCCCGAACATAACATTGCATAGCATGGCGTTGAAGATCAAAGCGTAGCATGGCATAGCACGACGTGGCACTTAAGCACTGCATATCACAGCTTCAGCTGAAGGCATGGCATCGCGCAGCGGAACGCAACCTAGCATTGCATTGCATGCCGTGGCATGGCACGGGAAATGGCGCCAGCGCTGCAGCGGGAGCACGATTCGGAACGAGCGGAAGCGCGGAAATGAGGCCGGCGCTGCAGCGGGAGCACGATTCGGAACGAGCGGAAGCACGGAAATGAGGCCAGCGCTGCAGCGGGAGCACGATTCGGAACGAGCGGGGCGCGAACATGATGCCGGCGCTGAGCTTTCGTTGCAGCGCATTGGATGGGAGATGGTGCCTTTGACGGTAGTACGAGACGATGCGGGATATCATTTTTCGCTATTAACCACGCCGCCTACCTTCATGCGGTCCTTAATTAGGTTGGGCATCCAGCGGTGGCAAATGAGAAAGGTTATGGAACATCATCCTTCAGCGGGGCCGAGCACGACTATTTGGGCCCAGGTGTCTTCGTCACGGGGTTGGTGCCAGAGCGGTTTCGGTCAAATCCCCTGTTGCTGCTGGAGCTCTACGTTCGCTTTGGTCTGGATCGTTTTGGCCCAAGCCCAGGTTGTTCGATCACGGCAAGGTTTCGGACACCAAATGCCGCGGGTGCGGGCAGGAGGACGGGTACATTGGACACTGCGTGTTTGAATGCCCAGTGGTCATAAGCAGATTATTGGACGACGAAGAAGAGCACCTCATGCCTGAGGATCTTTGCAAATTTCGCAAGGCGATTTTAGATCACGGCACGAGTATGCAGTCAGTGGTGGCTTCGGATTCGTTCGACTATTCGGTGGGCATGCCGCAGTTGCCTGCTATTCCTGAGCTTCCAGGCGATCACTTACCAGTCCACTACTGGGGGAATTGGGGGCAACGGCCGCTCGATGAGCCAGTGGTGCTTTTCACTGATGGGTCTGCCACACCATCGTCCTTTCCAGAGCTTAGGCGTTGTGGATGGGCAGCAGTGGAGGTGTCCAGGCACGGATACCCTTGCAGAGCGATCTATGGAGGACTCCCTGGACGGCAGCAAACGATTGGACTGGCAGAAAAGGCATGCGGTGTGGCAGGCGGTTAAGGTTTTTAGCAAAGTCGACGTGATCATCTCAGACCTGCAGTCGCTCGTCAAGGAAGGCAACAACTGGAACGACGACAGCGAGGCAGCAGAAGTCATGCATGCAGGGGTATGTCGCGATATTCGTGGGCTGGTGCATAAACGAGAGTTGTATGTGCCGAAGTTCCACTGGTGCCCCTCGCACTTTGACTTTCCTGATGTTGTCGAAGGGCTCGGGCCACCTGGCCTCGACCCGATGTGGGTTTTGGGTAACAGCTGGGCTGACTACTTCGCGAAGCGTGGGGCTGCAGAGAGAGCGATCGCCAAAGGCTACGTGGAGTATGTGCAGCATGTGTTCGGTGAAGGCAGGATGATGGCACGATGTCTCAGTTGGGGCATTGTTCGTCTCTTTGAGCAGCAGCTCTGGGAGAACGAAAAGCAACCGACTTACAAAGAGAAGTACGAGCACTTGGCTATGCCTGAGCACGTCTTCTACTATCATCCGGCGCAGAAGATATGGAAATGTCGCAATTGTGGGGCCACGGCTAAGACGCAAACTCATCTTGATAATTTACGGTGGAGTGTTCGCCGCCTTTGTGCACCTACAAAAATACCAAGGGCGCGAACGGACGCATTCTTCAGTACGGTTTGCGGGAAGCAGTATGCCATCTATCGGACTGAAGCGGTTCAGTCGGCGTTGGAAGCGGCAAGCGTAGTGCTGGAAGACCAGCAGGTTGAAGTCGAACATGCATTCCAAGACGAAGCTGTGGGCGATCCTCGTAAGGCTGTCGATGCAGTGTTCAAACAGCTGGGTCACGAGCCTGCCTAGTCTGGAAATAATGTTATGTGTGCCAAATGTGCGTGTCACTCGACAAAACTCGACGGCAAAATCGTGAACCTCAAACGCAGGTGCGGCGGAGTTGCCAACACGCAAGAAGGGCAGAAGACGCAAGTCAAGAGTACCCGCCTTTTTTTCACCACCCATGGCGAGGGGGTTCCCTTGTCGTGACTATCCTCGTCGGCCCGACCTTCGAGGAGCTACCAGTGTTGTTGTGAGGAGCTTCGGTTCTGGC